AGCTAAATGCAATGGGGCCCTGCTGAGCACATACTTGCGTCATTCAACTTGAATCAACGGTCAAAACGAAATAAATTTTTACAAACGTGGGATTTGACTCAGTATTCATATCTTAACTGTGAAATAGAGTCCACAAAATTCATGCACCCAGCTTCAAATAGTCTTTTCTTTCTTTATTTGAGATGAAAAGTGGAACAACTTTCAACCTAATTGCCTAATAACCCATCTAATTACACCCCTTTTGACAAGTCAATATGTCTTCTCCAATTGCCTGCCCTTATGGGGAAGGTTCCTACTTAGTACTACACTACCCCCAGTAAGCTTACTGGGTTAAGTTAACTCTTCTCTTTTAAGGAAACTGCAATGTTGCCACGTTCTACAGGAGAGTCTTAAATAAATTCAATGAGTAGATGGTTATCTTTCTAGATTAATCAGTAGGACATAAGGTCTAGAATTTTAGAGCAACTTTAATATGCCAACAAATAAGTTGTTGAGTCTGGAAAGAAGATTCATCAGCACGAATCAACCTATACGCGGGTGAACACGTTGACATTTTAAGTCATAATCTGCCAACTAACAATAACAAATATCATCCCAAGTTTCTAGTATACTTCCCTGGAACTTAAATATATTATCATTATATTTGTGAGGCGTGGCATGACTTCATTACCATTTACTTGTGTGTTATCACTTTCTTATCACTTTTATAATATTGTGTGCCCAAAAGGAACGAACCCAACTTTGACGCCAAGGCTGCGGTACTGGCCTCACTCTACGTGTTTGACGATCTGTTTTTTAGTGATCCCATTGGCTGAATCTTGAATTAAAATATGACGCCATCTCAAACGTCGCATCTGCCTTCGTTTTTCAAATAACTACGTATATGTAGTAAAATTGATTTTATACAACAAGTTGAATACGGAGGAATTTTGTGTGGCTTGTTTGAGTTTCTTTCTTTATTCTAAGCCAATACAATTTTATCGCAGAAAAATGGAATAACGTTTACGCCGCATCATATCTTTAGAAAAGAAGATGGATATGCTTTGGCTTTGCCGAGTATGATGCTCAACAATTCAGAAAAGGAACCTCAAAACTTTTTGTCCATCTGAATGAATTATGTTTTGCATATATTCTCTTCACCTACATCACGTAAATGCAATTTGGACGTTCACTGTCAGTAGAATCTTGCAATACATACATGTAGCTAGTGTATTTGCCGATAAAAACTTTAACTTATATGCAGTAGTCTCATTATCTCGCTTGATCAATATTTAATGTACCCATAACCAATTATAGTTTGGCGGTCAAAGAGATTTATAATAGGGAAGCTAATAGTGAAGTAAAGTAATAGATAAAATCTAACACATACATTTGTTCACAATTAAGTCACCTAAATATGTACACGTAACATTGAATTAAATTTAATTAATTAAAAAATTAAAAGATCTACCTTAACACACTAGCAGCCACTAGAATTCTGAAGCATATACTTAGGCTCAACCGCCATTGCCGCCACGTGGCGTCATGACCATGTTTAGCTGTCTCCACGTTGCGTCCTCAAACAAACTCCCAGCCAATGGACGGCTTCTATGTGATATGATAATAATGCAAAATTCATTGTCGGTTACTTATCTCATTCTCAATAGTAAATAGAAGAAAGAAGGGTCTTCAAACTGCCACGTGTCCGTCTTTTTTCTTAAAAGAACCGCGTTGCGTGCCGTATGCCGTGACGGTTGTGCGTCTTTGAAGATATAGTGCATGTTTGGTTTAATATTTTTATCCCTGTTCTGGATCCTATTCTCCGAATAGCGTTTGGTACAATATTCTAAAAATATTACCCTATTTTTTTAATTACATTTTAACCCTATAAGGTTATTAATTTCACTAAATACCCCCTGAAAAAAAGTTTAAAAATTAACAAAAACAGTTCCATCAACCCAACTTGTCAGATTCCGGTAACCACCGTCGGTGATAGCCGAAATCTGTACAACGGCCTAACTTCCGACCAGAAATGGCCGGAAGTTCACCGCTGTGGCCTTTTCCGGCCAGATCCACCACGGATCTGGCCAGAAAAGGCCAGATCTGGCTGTCAGCGACGGCCAAAGAAATGGCCGTCGTTGACCGAAAACGACGGCAACATCTTTGGCCTTCGCTGACGGCCAAAGATGGCCCTCGTTTGGCCTTTTCCGGCCGTCGACGGCCATAACAGACCGTAGATCTGGCCTTTTCCGGACAGATCCATTATGTATCTTGCCGGAAAAGGCCGTAACGACGTGTTACGGCACAGATCCGACAAGTCTGTGCCGTAACGAAATTTTCCGGCCAGATTCCAGCGGTGGTGGCCGGAATCTGACACTGCAGGTGGTGGGGGTGTTTTTGTCATTTTATATGTTAGGGTCTTTAGTTAAATTAGTAAACCTAAGGGCTTTTTTACAAATTTTTAAAATTTACCTCATAATACTCCCATATCCAATAACCCAATACTATCCCTAAAATCCTATCCAAAATACTAAACCAAACGCACCCATAATGTTCCACACTGCCACTCTACTGTAGTCTGTGCTCTACACTGAACTCACTACTCTATAATACCCTTATGAAAGCTAATTTTTTAAAAGATTCGTAATGTTCATAAATACAATATATATTTTTCAACAAATGATATTTGTAAATAAATTACAATATATGTTTGTATAAAATCTAGTGGGTTGTAACTAATTTTTCTGTTTTTTATTACTGAATGCGGATATCTCATTTAATCTCTACAAGTTAAATGTTTTAAATAAGTTATAAATGTGAGTGATTTGATCCTAAAAAATCAATGAAATAATTTAACTTTTTTAATCATCGAATCAGCCCCTTGAAGTTAATTGTTACTAATTTTATTTTCGTATTTAAGACAAAAAGGAGGATAATACTATTAATACACGCGGACAATATAACGGCTGCGTTTGGTTGAAAATTTGGGGGTTTTGGGAAAAGTTTTTTGAAAAAAGTTAAAAAAAAGTTGAATTGGGCGGGTATTACGAGGTAAAATTTATAAATTAATAAAATCTCCTTTATGTTTGTTTTTTTACAAAATACCCCCTATAATAAAACATTAAAAGTTAACAAAAATACCCCTAACCCACCCTCAAACACCCCAGCCGCGACCACCACCGGGTGGCCGGAGTCGTCGTATGGGCGCATGACCGGTTGGATCTTGCCAGTCATGCGTCGCTATGGCCTTTTCCGGCCAGATCCACGGTGGATCTGGCCGGAAAAGGCCAGATCTACGTCAGATCTGGCCGTCACGGCCAGATCTGGCCGTATTTACTCTCAACGACGGCCAACAAACGGTCGTCGTTGATGTCAACGACGACCGTTTGTTGGCCGTCGTGACCGAGTGTTACGGCCAAAGATCTGGCCGTCAACGGCCATCTTTGCCTTAGATCTGGCCTGTGGATCTGGCCGGAAGGCTAGATCGGCGCACTGCCGGCCAGATTCGCCGGTAGTGCCCATTCTACCAGATTCAGCCGTAGTGCGCCATTCTACCGATTCTGGCCATTTTCCGGTGGTGGTGGCGGAATCTGTAATTTGGATATTGGGGTGTTTTTGTAATTTAAAAAAAATATTTAGGGGTATTTAATTAAATTATCAAATTTAAAGAGTTTAAAAAAAGTTATAATTTTGGGAGTAGTATTCCCAAAAATCTGAAATTTTGGGTAATTTACTGTTTAACTTTTTGGGAATACTAAAAGTAGTATTCCCAAAAGTTTACCAAACGCCGGCACACATGTTTCTTCCTCACATAAACATTAATGTCTAGCTGTCGTTTTGGTGAGCTAACAGCCATAAATTGCCAAAACGGCAGATCTGTGAGACGTGAGGCCAACTACATTGTAAGTATACTAATCCAAAGATCTGGTGATGCTAATATTTAGAATTTTGCAATTTTAATGTGAATATTCTCACTTTTGTTTTTGAGTTGTTATAACGGAAGTGGCAATATGCCAAATGGCATCATTTTTGAAGCAGAAATGACAGTGATGTTAGTGTTTTTGTTAGTTCTTACCATTTCTCTATTACTATATTTGCCTATAGTAAATTTATTAATTTTTGAATCATTGAGAGGTAAGGGACAGATTTAAGAATTTAGATGGTAGTGGAGTGAGTTTGTTCCATGTCATAATATATTACAAAATGAACAAAATTGGAATCAAATATATATATATATATATTTTTTTTGACCCTTCGGACTAGTTTATGCGCACTTCAACTGATTCTCTAGAATCTTGAAATGAATAGTCGGGTAAATCCCTTCAGTGACCACCCCTATTAATACTTGGGAGCACTTGAATTCAAAAACTTATGTTGAACCCCTTTTCTCTTTTACCATCAGACCACCCAATGTTGGTTTCTTTATTATGTTTTAATTAAAAATTGGGAATTTCTTGATTAATTGAGATTTCTTATTAATTACTTAAAATCTAATTCTAAAAAAGCTTTAAATGCAAGGAGATCCTCATTTAAAGATAACATCATCTAAATATGAACATGGGAATTCAATTTAAAATCTTCAAACATACTCAAGTATGGGAAGCAACAAACAACCCTCTGTCTACCAATATAATCTTAGGAAGATACCAGGACATAATTAAGCTAATACAAATTAACACACCAACCATGGACCAAACCTTGTTTCTTAGAAGGTGATTAGATTATGAATATGAATATGAAAAACATGAAACGTGCCCCACACGCCCTAAAGACTCTTAATGTAGCCCCAAGGCCAAGTAATTCCACCTTGCATTGCACAGCAAGTGTTTGGGTTTAGAGTTAAACAAACTGCAGGCGTTGCATTGTTTTGACTTGAATTAGTCTTCTTTAGCTCAGTCATCACTCACTCTCCCTTCATCTTCATCTTCATCTTCACCTTCCCCCCCACCCCACCTCCACTACACCACTCTTTCTTTAGTTGACCGACTTCACTCATTTTTTTTCCTATATATAAACCTCCCCACTCTCACTCTTTCTTACCATTCATTCTATCCACCTTACTTCTCTCTCTCTCTCTCTCTCTAAACAATCAAACAAACAAATCATTTCAATTTCAATGGCTCTTCAAGCTTTGAATTCTCCTACTGCTGCCACTCAGCCCTTCAGTTATGAAGATTCATGGACCAAAAGAAAGCGATCAAAGCGCGCCCGGAGTGAATCTCCAGCTCCCACTGAGGAAGAGTACTTGGCTCTTTGTCTTATCATGCTTGCTCGTGGCGGAGCCACCACCACCTCTACCGCTGGAAACTCATCATCTTCATCACCTGAAATACAAGAAGAGCAGTTGCCGGAGCCTCCAAGTTTGAAACTTTCTTACAAGTGTACCGTATGCAACAAGGCTTTTCCTTCTTACCAAGCTTTGGGAGGACACAAGGCCAGCCACCGCAAGAACTCCACCGAGACGTCGATCTCCTCCACCTCCACCGCCGCCGCCGCCGCCGTTTCCAGTGAAGTCAACACGGCCGCTGCCTCCACAAGCAGCGGGAGTGGGAGGACTCACGAGTGCTCAATCTGCCACAAGACTTTTACTTCAGGTCAAGCCTTGGGGGGCCACAAGCGTTGCCACTATGAAGGCGGCAACAACAACAACCACATCAATGCCTCCTCTGTAAGCGCTACCGCCAGTGTTTCGTTTTCTGAGGGCGGCGGGTCAAGCAGTCAACGGGGGTTTGACCTGAACTTGCCGGCCTTGCCGGAATTCTGGTCTCAGGAAGTGGAGAGTCCCTTGCCGACAAAGAAACCCAAGTTGTTGATGAATCAACAGATTGCAAGATTTTAGACTAGTTGTGTTCTTCACAGAGATTGATTGATTTTAGAATTATAGATCATATATGAAAAAATATTCTTGAATTTTGTTTCTTTAATTTCAGTTATGTTTAATTTAGATGATTTGTATCTGTACATAGAATCTGTCTTTGTAGTGTGATTCATTCATTCTTTTAGTACTAGATTTTGATTGTAACAGATTACATCTCTATTTCAGATATGAATGAATTTATTTTTCAATCATATATTTTATTTGAATTATACAATGGTTGAATATTCCAAGTAGAGATACAATTTAATTTCAATTTCACACTACTAGAGCCTACAGTAAAATAAAGTAATTTGCCAGTAATGGTTGGCTTTGATTGTCCACGGGGAAAAGATTGAATCATTTCTTGTTAATAATAAACTTACGTATTTCTTAACCATCTTTAAATGGTAGAGTAGGACGATAAAGACTCTTAATATATTATTTAAGAAATCTTGAGTTCGATTCCTCTTAATTGTTAATAGAGTTATTCAATACCTTCGACTAATAAGAGTTCTCAAGAGGACAAACTAAATTGGACATAGGATTATGCTCTGTTACATGGTGTTATTAATGTCGAATTATGCATACATGTATTGTGATTTTATTAATAAAATTAGGGTTCGTTGTTAACAAAGAAAGTGAGACTGGCCAATGCAATATAATTTAATGGGTTGGCGCGTAAACAGGGGGAACGGCAAGCAAATAATGAGGTGGAGGAATACTACTTTACAAACAAGAACCAGCTGAGCGGAAGCTGCACAACACAACCCATGTTGGAGAGATGGGTTAAAACCCAATCCAACCCAACCCATGTGGTTCATGCCTTTAATGCACATGTTCCCATCTTCATCTTCATCTTCATCTTCATCTCTCTCGTTTACTATCTTTTACGTGCCTCATGACACTTGTTACATTGTTATTTATTCTTCCCTTTATTATTTATATATGAAATAAAGTCAATTCTTGTCATCCCCCTGCCCTACCACGTTCTTATATTATCCATTTTGGACTTAAANCGCGTAAACAGGGGGAACGGCAAGCAAATAATGAGGTGGAGGAATACTACTTTACAAACAAGAACCAGCTGAGCGGAAGCTGCACAACACAACCCATGTTGGAGAGATGGGTTAAAACCCAATCCAACCCAACCCATGTGGTTCATGCCTTTAATGCACATGTTCCCATCTTCATCTTCATCTTCATCTTCATCTCTCTCGTTTACTATCTTTTACGTGCCTCATGACACTTGTTACATTGTTATTTATTCTTCCCTTTATTATTTATATATGAAATAAAGTCAATTCTTGTCATCCCCCTGCCCTACCACGTTCTTATATTATCCATTTTGGACTTAAAACATAAACCCCCTTTTAATTTATCATCACATCTCCCTTATTAACCCGTCCTCTTTTCTTGGCTTTTCCCTCACTTTCTTTCCCAACAAACACGGTGTTGAAGTTGTCCACAAGAAATGCTAAGAGTTAGTAGTTCACACATAGCATAGCTACAACGAAGCATTCATGATACGTTACTGGGGTATTGTCCCACTTTCCCACGAAACTAACCAAGTAAGAGCAAGAGCAACCCCTAAGAAAAGCCTAAGCTAGAGAAAGAGAAAGAGAAAGAGAATATAAATATAACTTGAACTAGTCCAAATATAAAATCTGAACTTGCCGTGTTATCAAAGGCCAATTAAATTCCTATCCAAACGTGGCCTTATAGAATATTCTTTAGCTTAACTAGTAAAACAAGGGAATGAGAATGTCCTTTCTGGGAGTTTACACAAACCACATCAACAGCTACATTGCTTTGTTTGACAGTTACTCAAAAAATTAAACAAATTCACAAATTGAGAAGAATAATCGTGCATTTCATTAATTGGCTTGTTTTTTAGATTAAATTTCACGTGTTTTTTTAAATCATTTTAATTATTTTAGAAGCACTTCTCGAAATACAAGGATTAAAAAAAAAATAAAAAAAATAAAATAAAATTACAAGATAGTGTTTTTTGCGTGTGGAATGTAAATATACGTGGAAAAATAAAGAACCAAAAAAAATAAATAAATAAACACCCAAGAAAGGTTTTTATGCTCACTCCATGTACTTGAATTGTAATCTTGTATTAAAATTGAAAATTACATATGATTAATTTGTTGTATTTTTTCTATAAAATAATTTTTTTTTTATGACCGGGAGTGTTCAAACCAACTTACACACATCTCAACTAATTCTCCAAGACCCCGGGATTAAGGGTTGGATAAGAGCTCCAATGACTACTCCTATTAGCAACTGAGGAGACTTGAATAATATACCCAAAAGTCTTTATCGAATCATCCAGTGGTAGTTTTAAAATACATTTATAACGGTTTTATTACAAATTTAATAAAAAAGAAGTTTTTTATTTTATTTAATATCTTGATAGTTAAATTGATAATTATATTGTTTTATGGTTGGTTGTTTGACTTAGATTTATTGTCAACAACTATATCTTTAAGTTTAAATAGAAGTGTTCCTCCTATTTTTCACCAAAAATTAACATTGTTTTAGAAAGGCTTTTTAGTATGTATGGACTTGCTTATGTGGAATTGAAGAGTCCTTGTAATGTTTCCAACATAATAAACAGTAAGTATTTGAGCATAGTTGTGTTGCCTGGGTGTTTCTTGATCACCACCAGCGGTCCATGTCCATCGTCAATGACAAGATAATATAAAACTAAATGTAGCCACCACCACATGAACATGATTGAAAGCATTAAAAATGACTTATAATAAAACTAAGTCGTCTCCAGCATAACATAGATGGCAATGGTTAGATTCAGCTGATGATGACTTGATCTTTTCAACTCTAAAATAGTACTCTTGTGATATTGTATTAATGATTGTGTCTAAGTACAATGAAGGAATTAATGGATAGTTCCCAGTTTGGCTGGCTGGCTCTTAGAAGATTAATATGTAGCCAATAGAGGTGAGATGTAAACGGTTGTGTTGGAATTTGAAGCAGTTTGAGGTAGTATTTTATTTGCAAGTGGTAAAGAGAAACTATATTGGCTCAGCAAATGGGCAAATTTTATGTCTCTAGATTCTACCATTTAAGGTGCATAGTTGATATGTCAGGAATTTGACTTTGGTGGTGCCAATGCCATCCTGAACCAACTTTCTAAGTGTTTGTAAGCCATTCATCACTGAAGTGCATATGATCCAACAGCCCCATTGTGCATTTGTGGTAACATCATATTAGCCCCCCAGACCCATATGGGCAGTTTTGGGTTGTTGGGTATTTGTGCTTTCACGCAACCCAAGTCTCATCCTTAAGTTTGGACTACAATGTGTAACACCAACCACCACCCTTTTTTGACCCCTTCCTGACTCCATTCTTTTTACAGAGCAACCCAGATTAATTCACACGCAAGAGGCATCATTACTCCTTGAGGTCTAGGCCCGTTCCATCGAATTAGAAGTGCAAACCCAATTGATGTTAACTGAGACCTAATTGAAAAACCAACATTAACATCTTTAAAAATATGATAAAGATTAAAGATCAAACAGAGAAAGAGGAAATGACATACCTTATTACTAATTTGGCTTTTGCCTATACACTAGTGGAAGTGTGAACTGTGAAGTACATCGTGGTGTGGCTGCTACCTAGCCAAAATCTATTTGTCAGATTGTGGCCTAGCCGCGACCGGTTAGCTGCTAGACCGCGGTCTGGCCGTATGGCTTAACTACGATCAATTACTGGCCGAATTATTGATGTTTGGATTTTCTTTTTTAAATAAGAAATGTAATTATTTTGTTCTTGTTAAGTTGAAAATTTAATTTTTTTTTTTTTTTCTTGTTTTCAGGTTGTTGAATTGATTTTTTTGATGAATTGATATTTATGATGGAGGGAATGGTGGAGACGAGCTTGATTAATTAGGGGTGAGATGAGTTTTTATTTTATATGGGATTTGAAGGTGTGGGAAATGAGTTTAAATAAAAAAGAATGGTGATAGAATTTAAAGTTGACTTGACTTCTCACTCAATAAAGTTTGGTTGAATGGAAAGATTACCTTTTCTAATAAACTAATAAATTTGAGTGTGTTTAGTCTGTGTAAGACTTCAACAAATAAGTTTTGATTTCATTTCGGATTTGTTTGTCAATTTTTGTTAATTAGGGATCAAAAGTTTTTCCTAATTATATATTGTTAATTTTTTTTTTTTTCTGGGATACCTTAGCACTTAAGAATTACGTGAACTTGGTTTCTGTTCATCAGTTTTTAAGCTTCAATTCAATTTTTTTACTCATTAGCCTCGTATTGATGTCTTTGAAACAAAGTATGAGATATTTATAAATTGATTTTTTTAATGACTATAATTTAAAATTAGCTTTATAAAGAGTTTTGGAGTTAAATAATAAGGAAATTAAACAATTTAGCCAAAAATTGAGGGGTTATAAACCCTATACGGCTATACCCATACAACCAACAAAAGTCATTTTTTTACTCAACAACATTTCAATTCATTAAATTGTCGGGTTCAAACCACCTTGGATCACCAATTACATTAGACTTATAGGGTATTTAATTCATTAACTTTTTAGGTTCATACCATCTTGGACCACTTATCACATTAGACTTATAAAGTATTTAATTCATTAACTTTTTAGGCTCAAACTACCTTGGGTCACCTGCGCATTGGACTTATAAAATATTTAATTTATTAACTACCTTGGGCTACCTTGAGTCATCTACCACATTTAGGTTTATGATTTTTTGCTCTCTTCACAATGAAGAGGTATTCCCACTTAAAATTTTTCTCGTATTTCTTGTGACTTAATTAATTAATTATTGGTAGTTTAACTTCCTTTATTCTTGAATGCAATGCGGTGGTTGAGTAATCATACAAGTTTCAAGGCAAATCCAGTCTATATCGGTACGATTCATAAGCTGGAATAATTGCTCCTATGATTTATCACAAATTTTTTAACAAGGGAGTCTACATGAGAAATTTGATATTGAGTGTTAACCCTAAAATATAAATTAGAGTAGTAATTTTTATTTTCTTGAAATTTT